GGCGGTGGTGACTCCGCCGCTGAGGAGGCTATGTTCCTCGCCAAGTACGGTAGCAGCGTGACTGTCCTTGTTCGCAAGGATAAGCTCCGTGCTTCTAAGGTCATGGCTGACCGTCTCCTTGCCCACCCCAAGTGCAAGGTCCGCTTCAACACCGTCGCCACTGAGGTTCTCGGCGAGGACAAGCCTAACGGTCTCATGACACACCTCCGTGTCAAGGATGTTGTCTCTAACACCGAGGAGGTCGTTGAGGCCAACGGTCTCTTCTACGCTGTTGGCCACGACCCCGCCAACGCTCTCGTTAAGGGACAGGTTGAGCTCGACGACGAAGGTTACATCGTCACCAAGCCCGGCACCAGCTTCACTAACATCGAGGGTGTCTTCGCCTGCGGTGATGTTCAGGATAAGCGTTACCGCCAGGCTATCACCAGTGCCGGTATGTTCATACCCCAGTATCTCCATTATAATAACTGCATTTCGCTAACTCGATTTAACAGGATCTGGCTGTGTCGCCGCCCTCGAGGCTGAAAAGTTCCTCTCCGAGACCGAGACTCACCAGGAGGCTAAGCCTGCTCTTTAAATACATATACACCTATTCTCCCACTTTTCTCTCTCATTTCTCATTGCCATGATACATGAAAACATGATGCTTGGCCGGTGTGTCGAGGATTCTTCTTGCTTCTAGACTTATATCTGTTTTGTGCGATATCTCATTTCTAAATTCCCCATGCATATTTTCAATGGGATTTCCTCACGTCTTTTTTTTCCCTCTCTTTTTCTTGTTCCTTATTCCAGTTACCTGTGTCTCATGGAAGAGGAAGTCAAGCGGTCTGTGATTTTATATCAGTTGCTCTGCTTGGGATGCCTATACCCATAGAGATAGAAATAGAAGAAAAAGAGAAGCTCCCATATCATCTTCCATACTTTTACAACCTTGCAGGGTTCCGTTACTTGTCTGCATAAATAGGAGCATTTGAATTAAAAACTGTCATTCATTGATATCAATAAGGCTGAAACAATACTCATCGCAAATAGTTCTCTCCATTGAGACGAAATTACCTTCTTTCCTTTAACTTTGTCTACGCAGATAGTCTATCTACCTATTAACGATAAATCCTCATTTCTCAGACTTCACAGCAGGCACAGCAGTCGTAAAAGCAGTAGCAAGCACCGGCACCGACGGCGGATTTTCAGTAAGATATTCCGGCACAACCCAATCATCAAATGGGTTCTCTGCACACCAGCGATCCTTAACGATAAAAGTCTTCCGCTCCCACTCAGCAACGTCAACCTTCCACTTATCCCAAGCCTCTCCATTAGCACGACGGTTAATCTCTGTCTGCTCAAGGTATGGGGATTTTTCGGCTGGCGTTGCAGAGCGCCACATCTGACCTAACGCGGCGCGGATTTCGTCGCGTGGAGCCTTTGCGTTGGGGTTGTTTGATGCTGCGCGACGGGCTTCGTCGCATTGATCGCGGCAGCGCGCCCAGTAGTCTTTTTGGTAGAAGAGGAAGGGGTTTAGGCCTGATTTTGCGGGGCGTGGTGGTGCGGAGCCGAGTTCGGCGTAGATTGTTGTCCATAGGGCTTGATCGTAGGCGTCGCGGCGAGATTTTTCGGTTGAGGTTGGTTTGCGGGAGGTGGAGGTTGAGGGGGGCTTTTGTTGGGTGATTGTTGGGCTTTCGGTGGAGGAGAGGGATGAACTGCCTCTTGCTCTTGTTTTCTTGGTGGTTGCGCCGTTTGGCGTGGAGGATTTGCTTTGAGTTACTTTTGACTTCTCTGGGACGAGGGGTGAGGCATCGTGATGGGTCCGGATATCGGCTCAATTATTTCTGACGCTGCGCGAAGGCCTGAGAGATATGCTCCGTGAACGGTTGCTGGATGAGTGCCACAGGTAGCTTCGCCAGCGAAGTGGAGGTTGCCGATTGACCGGGCCATCAGGTCGTAGTCGTCTGGGAAGGCTTCGGCGGCCACATAGGAGTAGCTGCCGTAGGTGAATGGGTCCTGGCCCCAGCGGGTGATGATAGTCTCCAGAGGATCGGGAACTGTGGTGTGTTTGAAAACGTTTCGCAGTTGACCAGTGACCTCCGTAATGATTTCTTCGTCGGAAGTAGATTCTGCTTGGTGAGCTGCATCACCAGCCATGAGGGCAATCAAACATGGGAGCCCGGTGGTTTTCATGACATTCCAGAACAGGTAGAATCGACCGCGGTTTGCCGCATAGTCTTCTTGGATCATAGAAGTAGGGTTATTTGGTTCACGGAGCAGACCAAACATATCTCGCTTGGTGTCCCAGAACGGCTCTTCAAACACTAGAACGACCTTGTTCATTATTCCGAATCCCAGTCTGTCAATTGCGCCACGCTTCCAGTCCGGAAGAGGAGGCTCAAACTTGATTTTCTGCTGCTTCAAGACCCCAAGGGAACCGGTGAAAACGACATGATCTGCCATGAACTTCTCTCCATCCTCGCACTGGACAACTGCCTTCTGGTCTTTGTTGGATCCAGTTGTGTCGTAAGAGATTTCGGTAACAATCTTGCCGGTGCGGACATCGAGCTTTTCCGGCAACATGTACAGCCCGTAGGGTAATTGCTGGTAGCCACCAATGACCTGAGAATGCTCACCCTCGAATTCATTTCCGATGTCTTGGTCCCATCCCGATAGGCTAAGTCTGTTCACGTTGGTTGCATTGGCGTACTCAAGGTTGGCGAAATGCCAATTCATCAACCGCATATCCTTCGTTGTCACTGGAAGCATATTTTGATATTGTTTGACGCCCTCGTCCATCACTGCACCGAGAGTCTGCGCCTGGGACGCCTTAGCAATCTGGTCCAGTTCAATAGTATCGTTAACGGTGTATCCTGGGTTAAGCTTCCATCCGGTTGTCTGGCAAGTCAAGGCTGCCGGGTCATCTTCCGAATTTCCCGCTAGATCACTCGCCACATCGACGGATGGCTCATTTTCCGCAGTCTTGTGTTTTATTCCTCGTCGGACTCGCTTTGTGGGGACCAATAGATCTATTGTTCCAGCTGCCCTCGCCTCTTCGTATTGTCGCACGGTGAGTCCATCATCCACCGCCGATTCGCGGCCAGCATCAATCATGTCGCGGTTTCCTTGGGCTGTGGGCATAATCTTTGCTTTGTGACGGTAGAATCCGGTTCGATCGAGCAAATCATTGTAGAGCTTTTCTGCCATGGCGTCCTGAACCTCGTTCACGGGTGATCCATCAATGTCGTAAATTGTCGAAACATCCCGTATCTTGTGGTAGTGAAGTGCCAGCTGGCCACGAACTATCTGGTCTAGCGGGTTGCCATGATCGAAGCCGACAATGATCTGAGCACCCATTTCCGCCTTTGGAACAAGCCCATCAGGCAGGGTTTCAGACTTGAGACTGTGCAAAGGATGCGAATAAATGCGTCCACCTACTCTTCGACGTCCCTCGAGGAGAATAACTCGGGGCATGGCATTTGAATCACGATATTGGCGGAAAAGGCTCTCCAGTTGACGTGCACACCCCAGCCCTGCCATTCCAGCACCGATTACAATAATCGTGGGACCCTCTTTTCGTCTTCCGCGTTTGGGTTTCACCGGGGCCAATGGAGCCTCCACACATCCGTGATTGATGTAGCCATTTCGTGAAAGCCAGTCGTAAGCAAACGAAGCCAGATTCATCCATCGGTAATCTTTGGCACATCCGAGTGCTTCTTCCCTAGTGACAGCCACCATGGGATTTCTCCCCCAGAGTAGCAAGATTCCATTTCGTATGTTAAGGTAGATTGTGACGTGAACGTGGCAAAGGTGGTCTTGTAAGAATTCTTGTTCTTGTCTGTGGAGAGCATATGGGTTCAGCCGTGATGCGTACGCTGCTCTAACGCACTGCCCGCCATAAACAGAGGGGTGGATTTTGGATGGGATGGACGATCGAGGTCGGCATTTAGACAAATCAACCTTCCCGCTTTCCAATACATTCGGTCCAAACATGACTGATTGCCCAGGAAGAGACTGCATGGGATTGGGCGGAGGCGATGTAGATGCTTTTAGTTCAAAGGAAGATGTCAAGTCGGTTGAGGCTGTTGACTCATTCGGGGTACTACTGCTGCCACCGGCATACAGCCTCTCCATTGAACCAACAATATGGGATCCATCAGATAGGAAGCTCTGTGAGTTGGGGTTGTTGTGTCCTAGATTTCCCAGAGCAATTGATGCTGAAGCTGCTTCGTAAGCCTTGTGCGTAATCCGCAATCGCTTCGCAGGAGGTTCAGAAAGTGCGGTCGGTTCAGATAGAAGATTTTCTTGTCCCTGCACCGTAATCTCAGAATTTGGGACATATTGATTCATGTATGATTCTTGATCCGGGGGGGATTCCCGCCGCCTGGAACCTCATGGACGCTGCACCATACATGTTGATGCACGGGTATCTGCAGGTAGATCCTCAAAATATTATATCGAGGACAACACAAAGAGAAAAGAAAGAAAATCCCACGTCAACAAATAGGTTGTTTGTGAACTCGAAGATGTGAGGTCGACACTCCTTTCTATCCCGAGAATGTGTGGATATCAAATATTCAGGCGTTCACCCATGATACGGTCATAGGAATTTGATCTGCGGCAAGCCGAAGGAACACAAGCTGAACGAATGGATCAACTGGGATCATGTTAGATGAGATGTAATATGGTAAAAAAGACGGAGGGAGTATGAGAGAATAGATCTGTGAAGACCGAGGGAGCACGGATATCAGGACATACATCGAGTTTCCCCCCACAAAAAAACGTCAAGAATTGAAAATAAGGCCCATTAAGTCGAGCAAGAATATTTGACTTGAAATGAGTTAAATGAACTGTAATTGGATTGTGAAACTTGATGGAAGAGACAGTGTGATGACCAGAGTAGAAAAACCCTGGCTTGATTCCTCGGGGCGGGGCGTATTTCTCAGTCCGGCAGGTTGCGGCAAGTTCGTCAACGACGACTGTTCTCTATGTTTCTTTTCACCTTTATAAGATCAAGGGATCTACTTTATTTATTTGGGTTATCTAGTTTTGAACATGAGTGTGCAGACCATATGCCTCATCCTCCCCTGCGAACCCATCTGAGTCATTATCGGTGAACTCATCGTGATATGATCTCCTGGTCGAGTTTTTCCAAGGCCCCGGCTGGTCACTGTCGCTATCGTCACCCAAGATCAGGTCAACATTGTCATCGTCCAAATCAGTGAATCCAATTCGCTCTTCTTCGTCTCTTGCAAGAGTAGTAGAGGCTTTGTTCACATCAGGATCTTCCGAAAACCGACCATGAGGGCGGTGCGCCGCATGATCAGCTTGGAGAGAATCCCGGATATCCGCACGCTCTTGGGCTTCGAGCTCTTTGGCGCGAGCCAAAGTCCTAAAATAGAGGAGGAAAATGATCAGCATGAGTCCACAAGATATTGACAACCGATGATTTTAGGGTCTCAAACCTTTGGTATATATACCACCCGGTAAAGATTCCAATACCGACTGTAAGGATAATACTGCAGATGTTTACGGCTTTGGATCCCGCACTCATCTCCTCGCCCTTCTCGGAGAGCAGACGAATTCGACTACCAATAAACGCAGGGACCAACAATTTGGGAGAGATGATAGCCGTCGCAAGTCCATACATCAATGGCTGCACCGTAGGAAATGTGGACACAGCTCCGTTGCAGATCGAGTAGGGCAGCGGGCATAAACGGATCATACAAAGAAGCTTGAGCCCATCATACTTCAATGTCAGGGCCAATGCAGCGAACCTCTTGTCATGTTCCATAAGGCGTTTGACGAATCCAGATAGAATTGTCCGCGAAACATAAAACGAGACAGTCGACCCCAGAACTGTTGCGGAAGCGTAGATCAGCCATCTATAAAATAAGTATCGAGTTAGCCTTCCGTTTTCATTGTTTTCGCAGGTTAAATAATAATAAAAAACATGAATCGATCTCTTACCCTTTCCATACACCAAATATAAAACCAGCCACAGTCCCAAATGTAGACCAACCCACAAGAGGGGGAATGAGACAAAAAAGACACACAGCCACAGGATGAAGGCGGCTAACCAGGATGTTTCCCACTTCTCAGCGACCGGGCCAAGCCAGATGAACAACTTCCCAGTGAACACCATGAACGCGATACCGGATGCGCCCACAAATAAAGCAGCGAAGAAAGTCGCTATTTTCTTCAATGGAGTCATCCCCTCCCATATCGTATTCATACGGACATATAACTCTGTACCGCGTTGGATTATCTGTTCGCGATAGCTTGTAGCTTGCCCGCCCAACCGGATGGAGCTTCGCCTACCGGCGCGACTCCAGGGCGGGTGAGCATCACTGCTAGGAGATGAAGGTATGGGATCCGGAGAAGAGGGTGAAAGAGACAATGCCCTGACGGTGGATTGGTAATCCGCAGGCATTGTGAAATGTGTATAGTCCCGTATCAATATTTTGGTAGGAGGATGGTCGAATCCGGGGATGAACCGCTCTAAAACAGTGATCGGCAGGAAAGTGCGATACCAAGGTCAATAGGTGAATATCCAAAGAAGTTTTTCAAGGGCGTGTCAAAGCCCTGATAGTTGAACCGAACATGGAGGAGAAGCCAAGCACTTTTAGGCTGAAAATCAGTTTGACCCTGAAAGTCCAGATTGCAAGTCAGCGGATCCGCCGGACTTGAGCTCGGGAGTGTCCAGGTGGTTAACCGATCTACATCTTCCCCAGAGCTGTTGTTTATTTTTCTTTTTTTTTTTGGTGCTGTTTATAGTATAAAATGTACATATATAACTCTCTTTAAGTATATATTTTGTATATATTTTTATGTCCATTGATGTTGTAAAATTGCTGACAATACTATAAAAGTGCAGGAAACACCCCACTGGTGCATGGATCCTATTAATGTTTTTCAATTATATATCTGTTACGGATAATTTTTTAATTTCTCTTTCACATCTACCTCTCTTTTTATTATTATATTATCGTGTTGTACAAATCATAAATACCACCTATGTGTAGAGAGGTACCTTAGTGTCACTTGAAGCTCAGCCGATAAGCTGTGCCCCAGTGTTGATCTCCTTCTCCGCCTCCCCCTCTTTGTCACTTCACCCTTTATTCAACTTTCATTCACAAATCGGCGATGCGATGTAATTATCTGCTTGTCCTTTATCACTTTCGCAACTCTCATCACCTTGCACTATAACTTTGAAACCAACCTGAAACCCCCCTATCGTCCTTCACTTGCCCGATCACCTGGATATAGAGAGAAAGGATGAGGTGCCTCTGATCCTCAACTCTAGTCTCTGGTCTCACTCTCGTCAAGCACATTCGTGTTTATTACCCCCCCAGCCACGGATAGTCGCCCCATCCAGGACCCAACCCCTTCGCCGCTAGGGAGTTTTCCCGATTACTTTCGTCCGCGCGTATTACCCATATCAACATACATCATGATTGCCGACGACCTTCTTGAAAAATGTCTCCAGATCCTGCAGGATCAAGCACTGGATGAGGAAGAACAAGTAGAAAAAGTGGAGGACTTCTTGCGCGCGAACACGTCATTGACGGGTACACCTTTAGAGAACGCGGTATTGGACATCCTCTGGCGCCATCGCAACCGAAACTTGCCAGACGCATCGCCTCCAGTCCGTCATACCGTGATTCGTCGCTCATCGCCTGCGCCATGGCAGATGGCCCGATCATCCACCCCGCTATCCCCACATTCGACTCTAGGAACAAGCCCTGGGAGTTCCTCGTGGATGCAAAGCTCCCGTGGGCCTTTCTCGCGGCCTCCGCTATCGTCTACTGTTTCTCCATTTACCTCCCCACGCCCATCGCCCCGGCTTGCCCTTGCGCAGCCCATTCCTCATTCCCCAAATCTAAACGCCTATGAGTTCTCAGACCAAAGTCAGATTTCTGACTTCTATGGAGACCTTGGGGGCGATAACAATGTTGACTGGCTAGTCGCAGATGATGCCAACAGTACAACATCATCCGCTGGCGGTATCAGCACTCCCGGGGCACTCAGTGCCACCGCGGTTGAATTTGTTCCAGATATGAGCCCACATGATATCCTGCGCACAGTGCTGGGTGACAAGCGATCAAATGATGAAATAGAAGCTGCACTGGAGGCTAATAGTTATGATCTCGGTGCCACCATTGCTTCGCTCTCCCAGGAGATAGAATCTGAGGCGATTGCAAAACAACACGAGGACGGCCGTGTTTTGGTTGGCAAGTCTATGACAATGGATCAAGTGCGCCCGGTCACGCCATTGGGTAGCAGTCGCAGCCCTGTGGTCTGTAAATACTGGCTGTCCACTGGACAATGCCTTCGCGCGGACTGTCGTTTCAGTCATGACCTAACCACACATGTGTGCAAGTGAGTGTTTTTGAATATCCCGGACAATCCAATCCTTCTTGCGCTAACAAATGTGAATAGGTATTGGGTCATGGGAAATTGTCTAGCTGGTGATGGATGTCCCTTCTCGCACGATCCTTCGGCGCTTATCGGCAATCTTAGTGTCACGGATGGTAGTCGACCAGCTTCGCCCTCCCTGTTCCAGGTAGACAGTGGTTCTGATGCATTTCCACCCCTGCAAGCGGCAGATAACGGAGACCAATGGGCAAATCAGTACACGGGCCGCTACCCTGCTCATCTCTCTGCTTATCAAGCCAGCAAGTATGCGCCTCCTGGCCTCCTTCCTGGAATGGGCAAAAGAAATGGAAGCGCAACTCATCTCGGACGCCCGAACTCCCGTCCATCTAGCCGCCACCAGAATCGAGAGTTGAATCCTGCTGCACCGTCTGTAGACGATCCGGATGCCTTCCCAACTCTTGCTGCGGTCAATGCGAAGAATTCCGGGAAAAAGCATCATGGGAAACGGGGCGGTCATAACAACCGCGAAACCAGCTTGGGCAAGGAAAACGTCCCTTCGTCTCTGGCAGATGTGGTTCGAATGACTCCATCTCCTGCCCCCGGGAAGACCAAATCCGGTACCAAAAACAAAGACACGAAGGGTCGCGAGAACAGTGCTGCAGCTCAGTCGATCCCACCCCCACAAAATATCCCCTGGCTGGAGACAGGCACACGCGCCAATCAACAATATATCAAATACCGCACAGAGGCTATTCGCCACGGGACTGTGCGAAACAAGTTCCTCCAGAGGTAAGCTTTCAGCGAGTGCTATTACCTTCCAACACTTCTAACGATCATATCTACTAGCGCTGCCCAAGCATGGAACCGCAATGATGCACGAGCTGCCAAAGCATTGTCGTTGCGCGGTCAGGCCGAGAACGATGCGATGCGCAGGTGTCACCGGGAGGCCGCACGCCAGCTTTATGAAGAACGTAACCAGCACCTTTCTCACAAGGGATTGGATGAATCTTCGGAAGAACTATACGTTGACCTTCACGGTCTCCACCCAGAAGAGGCTATCGAATATCTTGAGAAGATCCTGCTCAAGCATGCTCGAGAAGGCCTCCGAGTGGTGTATGCCATCACAGGTACTGGTCACCACTCGAAGAATGGCAAAGATAAAATCGGCAAGGCCGTTAAAGCATGGCTAAACGAATGGCGGTACTTATTCCGGGAATTCAGTGTACCCGGTGAGCGAGGCGGTTATGTTGGAGGGATTCTCGGCATCGATCCAACCAGTTATGACAAGTCAGCAGCCAAGGAGCTGGCTAGTGAATTGATGGAGGCCAACGCTGGCGGAGAGCCTCCCATCCTCACTATGGGCAAAATCCATTTACTCAAGCGCGAAGAAATAGAGACTCAAGATCAATGACCTGACGTGTCATTCAACTCAATTTGCGTCAAAGCGGCATGATACCCTACCAAATTTATCTATTGAATCCTTTGATAACTCAACTTCTTTTCAACCTTTTGGTCCAAAACTGTGACTCAACCACAGCATGCAGCAAGTACATCAGGCGAGCATATCGAGTTCTTTTAAGCAACAACTTTTTTTTTTAAGACAACTAGATTCCTTTTTTTGGCTACATGCTTCTATATACTTACGTGGTCCCGGCATGACTCTTAGAACTAGCGAGGCAACAGAATACAATCCACAGCAGAAAAACGCTCCCTTTCAAAGAAATGATGGACGCATAACATAAGTACTAGTTAGAATGTATAACAAGCATGTACAGGGATATCATGCGTAGATAATATACATCGCTACACATATAAACTCACCTATTCTGGCTCCTGGTGCTGCCACTCCCCTCTCAAGGCATCAACATCAACCCCACAAGCCTCGGCCTTCTTAACAATAGCCCTAGCCTTATGCGCAACAGGAACATCAATCATCTTCCCATCAAGCGTCCAAGCACCCCTCCCAGCCCTCGCAGCCTTCTCATCCGCAATAACAACCCGCATAGCCCATTCCGTCTCCACTGGATCCGGCCCAAAGATCCGATCCGCAACCTTCACCTGCGACGGATGAATACACTGTTTCCCATTGAACCCCAACCGGCGTCCATCCAGACACTCCTCCTGCAGCGCAGCCGGCGGCGACCCATCCCCATTCTCAGACTTGTACGCTGTACAAACGAGATCAATGGTCGACGGTAGATCCGCCGCCCGCGCAGCGGTGGCTATCGCAGACCGCGCGAATAGGAACTCCGTCAACGAGGGTGTCCGCGTGATACTAAGATCGAGCGCGAAGTCTTCGGCTGCGAATACCAGTCCCTGGAGTAAAGGTGACGCGGCGCAGATCTGAGATAGATTTGTCAGGGACTTGGCGGACTCGACTAGAGCCAGGAGTGAAATTGAGGTTCTCTCTGTCTGTGGTTGCTGGGATAAGGTGTGGGTTATGACGTCTGTGACGAATGTGAGGTCGGAGGCGGAGTTGACTTTGGGGATTACGATTGTTGTTAGGTTTGGGGATTGGAGCTGGGATGGTTAGTGAATTGAACAGCTATTTATGTAAGAGTTCACTCACGACTTCGGTTAAATCACCCAATGCCAGTCCACTGTCTACGGAGTTGATTCGTACGGCGCGTTCCCGGATTCCTGGTGGCGCGGCTTGGTCGATTGCTCTCCGCACTAGTGAGCGCGCTTCTGCTTTCATGTGCGGTGTTACGCTGTCTTCTAGGTCGTAGGTGACGCAGTCGGCAGTTAGTGAGCGCGACTTGTCTAGGAATCGTTGGGAGGAGCCTGGGACTGTTTGGTGTTGTTTGTTAGCTTGGGTGCTTTCTTTTTGGAGCTCGGGGAGTGAAATGCGGGGAAGATACGGCTTTGCAAGGGAGCTTGAGCTTACCGTAAAGGAGGGAACGACGGAGAGTATTGCGAGCTGCCATTTTTTAGGTGGTGATTTGTGTGTGCATTCAAATGGTATAGAGTTGCGTGTACTTTGTACTGTGTTCTGTGTTCTTGGGGAGTGGAGGTCTTTATGGAGTTGAGTCGGGAAGAAGCCGACTCGGCTAT